AAGATATCTAAATGTTTCTAGTAATGAGTTTAAAACATTTCCTGAGGCGGTAATCGTAATTTACATATTTTATATTTCATGTACTAAACTCAGTATTAATTAATATCTTCATATTAAATGTCTGTCTTACAGCTATGTTTAATTTCAAGTTTGGAGATATTGGACATTAGTAAAAACAAAATTAAGAACTTACCAAAGGATTTTGGAAATTTGATGTCATTGAAGGTTAACTAATTTAAGTTTATTCTTGTATGCTATTATCTTTTTCATATTATTGTTATACGTCGAATGATGAACGCGTTAGGATTTTATTATGGCATACATTATGACTTTGTCGCTATTGATGTAATGTGAAATCTTAATCGGTATATAACATGTATCATGCTATGATTCAATTTCAAAAATATCGTGAATTAATATAACACTTCAAATGAAGCAAATGAAGATTGTTGTCCTTACACTACGTCACTATAATTGTGACTAGAAAAAGTAGAGCTTTGACGTTTAACACTGTAATTCAATCATAAACAGTAAACCTAATTTGTTTATAAAATTTTAGCTATTAAAAATATCCAGAAATCTTATAAAGAAGCTTCCTATTTATATCGCAGATATGAAAGAATTACAATATTTAAAAATTGATAATAACCCAATCCAATTTCCTCCAAAGAATATCCATATGATGCCAAAAGGAGAAGATAAAGAAATCATGGTACCTTGGTTAACTAAATTAAAAGAATACCTAAGGCAATATGCAGGCAAGCTATTTATTTTTAGCATTTAAAATTTTTAAATAATCTCTAATTGTATTCTGTATTATGTAGCTGGACGAAATTCTGAAATGGAAGAAAGCGATAATAGCAGGTTTGTCATAGAATGATCCATTTATAAATTGATCTATTCATCAACTAACACTTTAACACGTAATACTGGCGGATGTTTATTTAGTAATAGTGAAAATGGAATTGAACGAGATATAATAGCACGTAGTAAATCATTGAAGAAAACTACATCAGTCGATACACACCTTCATCCAACTTCTAATTTTCTAAACGCAAGCACCAAAACTGAAAATGGACAGGTGTCATCCAAACTTGAAAAGAAACGGCCAAATTCTAAACTAAGTTTAGATTTTCCGATAGCACGTCGTGAAAGGAGTTACAGTAATGACTTTGATTCTATGTCAAAGAACCTTCGGAGTACATTTATCCGGACTCATTCAAAGAGTTATTCACAAGATTCAATAAGTTCACATGGTAGCCAAAATGGCATTTCAGAAGAGCATAGTAGCGACTTTTATTTTCAAAAACTTAAAACACTTCCTCCAGTCGATAATCTTCCAATGAGCAGTTTATCTTTAAGAGAGGCTAGTCGAAACGTTTTATACGCTCTGTCTCAAATACATAAAGCGATGTATCAATTCATATCCTTTACTGGCAGCGAAAGGATTTTTTTTACAGAACTTAATAAAACAAATGCATCAATAGGACAACTAAGCATGAGATTACAAAGATTTGACATTTTTTCACAGAAAGCTGCACCAGACGCTGATCATTGCATTAAATTACTCGGATCATGCCAAGATAATATAACAAATTTTAAAATTCTTTTAGATTTATTTAACAAGCGTATCAGAACTTTAACACAATCACCAGATAACCTACGATATTCGCGCACACTTCTATTAATATTTCATGGTGCTATAGTAGATATTAAGTTTGCATGGGAAAATATATTACCTCTTTTAAATAACAACATGCCTTTTACAGGAATACCTACACCCATACGTTCAAAGCCCATATCACGATCAAATAGTACTAGTAGTCTTAATGGGTATTCTTACTCTAATGGACTTTTGTCTAACGGTTCCTTGCACACGAATGGAATCAATATTTCTTCTGCTGGAATGTCAATAACAAATAATTCTCATACTGATGTCACATTTCCACCCTTGATATTTGAACAAATGCTTACAAAAGTCGATACAGCTATCAAGTGGGTTGAAAATGTCGGAAAACATTTATCTGAACATCTCGAGAATGCTCTTGGTTCATCAACCGATATTTATGCATCTCCTGTAAAAATAAAATTGAAAGAGCTGAAATTACATATGAAAAACGTGTCGGACGTAACGAGACAATTGAAAAAATCTTTATTAGCTGTAAGATTTGTACAAAATGAACATTTGAACATACAACTTAAAGTTTATAGTACCACGATCTTGTTTCTCCAGGTATGTTGAGCGTTTTGACTTAATAGCCTGTTTGAAAACTGAAACTAAAGATTATTGATATTATTGATGTAAATTAGGCAACTGTAAAAATGTCTACATTAGCTAAAGATATTTCGCAAGAATGGCGACTTAACACCAAAATTATGTCAGGACTAGGACATGTTACTAAATCTAACATTGAACTGTCAAATTTTCTTCGAGAAATTGAATACGGAGAATTGCCTATTCGCATGCCGCCACCGCCACCTCCAAGTGAGGCAGAATCGGAAAAAAGTGATGACTTTATGGTTTATAATGAAAATTTTTTGGATCAGAATGTTAATTCAAAATCAAAGACTACCTATGAAGAATCAACAGAGAATTCTAATTTAACTGCCGATGGGTCTACTATTCACGACTAAGATAAAATTAGTACCTAAAGACGTTATGTGTTAATTATTTGTCCCACATTTATGTAAACGTTATTATTGTTACATATTAACAACTAGTGCATCATATGATATTTATACTTTGTCAATAGATTAATTCCATCTTAGGTTATAATCTATATAAAGATCACTTTCTGATTATGAATATTTATTTTTTTCGTCTGTGTAAAATATAAAACAAAATTCTTAACGCAGCCAGTTGTCGAAATCACGCGTTTCATATGACTTTGTTACATAAATTTCGACAACTTTCGACATGTCTAGACGGCTATGCGATTACCATAACAAACTCAAAATATAAAAATTCTATAAGAAGCCTTGGCATTCATATCAAAAAGAGATAAGGGACATGTCTGAGATCACTTTGCAATAGAGCTTACCCCTCTTTCTCTCGAGAAATTTAATCACTCTGATTTGTCATGTGTATATGTTTAGACCTGAGATTTTGTCCATCTTATAATATCAGCTGATATCTGACATTTCTCTAATCAAATTTGATCATGAAGAATATTAACTGATTGCAAGAAAGTAGAATATATGTCCTCCCACCTTTTCTAGATTCATACGTATTATGTTTAAAACTTAGTATGAATTCAAGGTAATACATATTTTAAAAAATTTTATTTAGTATAAAATTATATTCTAAGAACTTTAACTACTGTGTAAATTTTTCAACTAAAAACACTAATAATAATATATTAATATGCTCAATAATGAATTCCTTTATATCAATTAATGCTAATAATAACATTCTGGAATTCACATATTTTTGATTAAATTTCATATTTTGGAGAATAATGCTAACGATTGGAATGTAGCGATAAACTTGCATTTTGCTTATAATATTCCCGATTCTATAATGTAATATCATAAGCATAGAGTTTAATCTATTAAAAAATATTTATATTAAAAGAAAAGAATAAAATAAAATGAAAGTTTACTATAAAATTCTATCTGATTTGTTTACTGTCTCTCGATTTATTACCAAACATCTCAATTAATTAAATAATTAATCACCGTATATAAAAATAAATAAAGTACCAATTATATAAAATACATAAAGAGAAATTATCTAAATTTTCAACACCTTTATATATTATATAGAATAAGTACAAATATCAATTATGATCATTAATCCTAGGGTGCAGATATATTGTCGTAATTAGGTTGCAACCTAATTACCTCAATAAAAATAATATGGTTTAAAATAGGTCGTAACTAATTACGACAATATGTATGCACCTCTAATTAATCCCTAATTATCGCTTTTCGTCGTAATCACCAAATTATCTCTATGAATAACACATTCAGAATCAGCATATCCTAATATTTGTTCAATATCGGAACTTTGACATCCTTTGATTCTAGAAATCTCAGCAGAAGAATAATTTACGAGCCCTTTGCCAATCATTACAGCTTCAACATCATTTATATCGTCATGCTTTACGGTTCTTTCGATCTTTAAATCAACAGCTTGATGAGCAACAAAATATCCTTCTACCTTAACGATCCCAGCTGCGAACAAACTGCTTTTTTGGCCCACTTTTGCAATCGCCCTAACAGCACCTTCATCAATAAATATTGTACCAACAGAGTGTAACCCATGTAATATCCACCACTTACGATCTAACATCGGATTGTCTTTGGCGAGAAATCGCGTGTGAAGAGGTAATGTTACTGAAATTTGTTTATCGTTGGTGGGAGGCTGATTAATGATAGATATTATATTTTTAGGCGCTGACCCACGACATATGATTGTTGTTACGCCAGCCGCTGTTGCAAGTTCTGCAGCAATTAATTTTGTTACCATTCCACCCGTTCCAAGTGAACTCCCAGGTGATGAAACAGTAACTGATATGTAATGATATAAAATTACTTATAGATCAGATTAAAAAAAAAAATTCTTGATATTACTTGAATTTTGTGGATTCAAACCTTTATCTCTTAAAGCATTAACATCTTCAACCACTTCCACAGGTTTAGCGTTTGGATTCGTCATGGGATTATCAGTATACAGACAATCAACATCTGTCATCAAAAATAAATAATCGGCATTAACCATTCCAGCTGCTATGGCTGAAAGAGTATCATTATCACCAAATTTAATTTCCTATTAAAATATTTAAAAAATTTTATTGATAAATAAATTTTAAGAGAGTAAATATTATTATTCTCATTTAGTAATTAACTACTTACGCTCACGGAAATGGTATCATTCTCGTTAACAATAGGAACTACACCCATGCTTAATAATTCAGAAAACGTATTAACAGCATTGAGATATTGTGTACGCTATTAAATATTCATAACTATCTTATTAAAGAAAATTCCAATGTCTCCTGGAAAAGCAAAATTGTATTAGAAGAAATTTGTAAATACATCTGCCAGGTCATGCCTAGTTAAAAGGACTTGTGCAATCGGCTGATTCAATTGACTAAACAAATCATCATACATTCTCATCAATCTTCCTTGACCAACCGCCGCTACGGCCTTTTCAAATCCAATTAAACAAATAATAATAATTATCATTATAACTTTAATCGATAATGTGAATCATAATAAAAAACAAATTTAAATATTTACTTGAATTTCTTTCAATTTTTTCGGTTTTTTATCCATATTTAATCGTCTTAAGCCTATTCCTATAGCACCGCTTGTGACCAAAACAACTCTGTGACTCATAGAACGTAATTTTACTATCGTTTCGACTAGAAGTGAGAGATTAGATAGCAACGGTAGATTCGTTTCTATGTCACATATTGAAGATGTACCAAGTTTTATTACTAAAGTTAATGACTGAGAGTTTCCAGTACGAGGGTTCTTGGACATGTTAATTTCCTAGAACTAAAAGTCCAGATTTATCGTTATCTATGTGATTGGCTTCAAAAAATTTCGTTGACAAATCAAATTTCAGGATCAGGTGCAACACACGATATATTCGATTAACGCAGAACAACTCCAATATTAGTAAATACGCAAGATATACTGCTAGGTATTAAAAGGTTATTATTTACTCAGTGTGGAGCGAAGCTTTTCTAACTCTAAACAGCAACCAACAAATCTACCAGAAAGTCCTTTACATAATGGCAAGTTAAAATTTGTTATTATATTTTCTATTTTCCAATAAACAAATCGCGAAATAAATAAACCTATATAAATGCACAGAATCTTTTAAATATTTAATATAAAACACATAGAAAAAGCAAGTTATAATGCAATTTATTGCTGCAGAAAACATCGCCCCTGCTCAATCCTGTCTAAATCGTTAAAAGTAAGCTTGGATCAATTAATTTGAGCACAATAAATGAGTGCACTAATGAATAAACTATTCAAATATTTTTTTTTATGAAATCCACCTTTATGGTTTTCCCTTAGACCCATTCACGTTATGCCTACCAGTGTTTTTTTAATAAATATACAGTATCCTCCAAAAGTTTATCACGGTTATGCGAAAAAACTTAATTTATGCAAATGTATAATATGCAAATTATGAAAATGAACTTAATAAATAATACATCTAATCGCATCAAAAATGTATTAAATGTTGCGCCACTAAGCAAATCATTAATTAAGGAAATTATATTGATGATTATGGTACACAGCACAACATACATTCCAGAAATTCCAGAATAAATGATACTATGTACGTAGTGGTTTCTAGAATATATACAAAATAATTATCCAATCAATGTTCTTATACCCAGACTAAAGGTGTTCTCAAGCACCTCACTTAATGGATCGGAAGTAAATTTTTTAATTAGTCGAAAATTGAATAATGAGTTACCATATGAGGCAACACCCACCTTTTGTTTCAAAACTTTGCCATTGATAAAAGTCGCTCAAGCATTACTTTTACATTTTTTACATATTAAACAATTAATTCTCAACAAATTTCTAACCGGTCTAAGGTCGTTCTCAAGCGTCAAGCGTCAATCTCAATGTGATTAGCAAGTGATCGTAATACGTAGTGCTCAAGCATAATTATATTTACAAAAAAATTTTGCTGAAAATTGCAGTCTCGGAATAGTTGAATTTGTTGCCATTTGAGCGAAAGCTAAAAGATGGTAAGTAACTGATATTGTTTCTTGGGATTCTCGATTTTTTTTATTTTCCATAAAAACTTTTAATGCGAGAAGTAAAATAATCATTCGTTGCTGTCGAAAATGATGATCCATGGCAAAGTTGCTTGAGTACTCTATTGATCGTAAAATTTTCAAAGGCAGGTATAAAAAAAAGGTGGTTTGTTGTAAAAAGGTTGTTGATTGAAA